CACACACACACACAGAGAGAAAGAGAAGTAAACAAACACACACACACTAAACTAGTGATTTACAACACACGTTAGAAAGAAGAGTAACACCCATTTCTTGGACGATAAGACACCCCCTTTCCTGTCTCTATGTAAAACACACTCAGGTCACGGAGGTTGATTGAGACACCGGGACAATGCTTCACCTCCTCGGCCTCAGCGTGGGGGAAACGTGACCTCTTTTCACTACTTTTTAAAATGTATTTCGAACTACATGTCCAAGGTAGAAGTACAATAACTCACATGGAACACTGAGAAAATCTGTCTCAATGGAACACAAAGATATTGCATTAAAACCCTGACCCGAGAGCAGGCATGTGGTGTTGAGTTCAGATGAATGCACATTTGCCTGGGGAGAGGAAATCAAGGCCAGCAGGACTGCAAATCATTGGGCCTGAGGCAGCAGTATTATTATTCAAGGGCTCCGGCACACAAAGTCATTTCTGAAACAATGAGAAAACCTCAGAGAATGGCCAAAAGATGAAGACCAAAGAAAGCCCGATGCAAAGGTCCCGTTTTATTACTTCTCTGCAAAAACAGCTCTGGACAAATATTTGATTTGACGATTCAGGATTCGTCAGAAGCCTGAGGCCATCCCCATGGCAGCGAGTGCCATGGAAGCAGGATGTGTATGCAGATTACAGCTCTCCTCTACAGACAGAGTTGCACCTCAAAGCAGAATACACTTCAGCAAAATGGCTGCGAAGCAAGACTATCAGCGAATGGAACTGCACTTGAACGAACCGTCACAACTTTCTTTAACAACATCCTCACACATTCAACCAAATTACACAATTAAAAAATGTTTCTTCTAATTTTACATTTTTTGCTTTAGCATTCCTCTACCCCATTGTTATATTGTGCAATCAATAATGTTCTGAGAGAACTTCTATTTTAAATGTGCACCATGGTGAAGACAGACATGGAACAATAAAAGGACTTAATTGTGTGTGTGTGTGTGTGTGTGTGTGTGTGTGTGTGTGTGTGTGTGT